ATTTTTTAAAGTTTAACATTCAAATTAAATTAGATGCCAAATGAGTGGGAAATAGAAACCAACCAAAGTGAAGATGATTACGGGCACATAAAAATCTCATCATGATTTAACTCATTGGTTCCAGGCACATAAATACTGCCGTTATATTTTTAATAGGTGTTTGGTAGTATAATAATATATACTTTTTATTTTTATTTTTTAAAATTACCTTTTATATCACGCCTATCAAAATAATAAAAAAATTAAATTTTTAAAAAACAACGTAAAAACGTCACAATCGTCCTTACAAACAAGTCCAGGCGATCCGACAACCCAAGGGAGATGTTTCCTTCATGTGACGAAAACGACACTTCACCACTCCGTAATTTGGTCCGCAAGATAGCACTACCAAATTAACACTGTCTTTGCTCCATCCATCTACTCTCTCTTTGCGAATTCTTAAATAAATCATATTTTTGAAAAATTAAGAAATTAAGACAAAATTCAAGCTTGAAATAACAAATGAACGTAATTTTTACCATTGGTTAAAACATAATTTTTTCAATTTATGATTTGATATGTTTCATACATATATTTCAATAATATATTATAGAATATTAATAAATCTTCATCATTCTATTATTTTATTAGAACAAAATTATTTTTTTAATTAAATTAAAATCTTATCACAGGTAAAGATAAATCAAGAAAAATAAATTTTATAATTGGTAAGATTTTAAGTTTGTTTTTTACTGATTATAAATTTAAATTATTTTAAAATTATTAAAAATTCATATTATTATTAATTTTAAAGTTCATAGAAGTATTCGAGATTCGGAAATCTATATTAATAATAATAAATAAAAAAATCCAACTCCAACGCACATTGGATAAGATGCGTGAGGCACCCCACATTGGATATTTTCTCTTTGATTTTTCATTATTTTATTACATAACGTTAACGTGTAAAGGTTTTTCGCATTCTTTGTAATTTTCATTTCTATAAAAAACCACAAACTCCCTTACTTTCTGTACTTAATCTCTGTACTCTTTCTCTCTGTACTCACTCTCTTCAAGATGAGAGCTAAGGCATTGCCATTCTTGATATTCTGTCTCAGTATTGTTCAGTGTATCTCCCATGCAGCAGAATCCAATGGAGCCTCAGAGAAGCCTGAGACCGTTGGTTTGGAAGCAGCCGGAGGGCTGAGACACAGCTTCCCTAAGGGGTTTGTCTTTGGAACTGCTACTTCTGCTTATCAAGTTGAAGGCATGGCTGAGAAGGATGGTCGCGGGCCTAGCATTTGGGATGAATTTGTTAAAATTCCTGGTAATAATACTAAACATAATTGATTTCTAGTGCTCGCTTTGCTCGCCTTGTTAACAAAAATTAAATTTGATAGTAATGTTTTTGTTGTCTTTAAGACAACAGCTAGTAAAAATTAAAACTTGAGGTTTTAGATTAATATCTTTAATGATATGAAATGTGATGTTATGAACAGGGATCGTTGCCAATAATGCCACAGGGGAAGTGGCAGTCGACCAGTATCACCACTACAAGGTAGGTCCTGTCTTGTCCTTCCATTTCTTTTATTCGTATGATAATGTATATTTATGTTGTAACTATACTGATGGTTTTAATCATGTCTGCAATAAGACATCCACCAAAAATGGGGTGCCATGAGAATGTGGTCATCATTAATGATAACCCTTTGACCAGGCTAGAGGCTTCATGATCTTTCTGATTACTGATTTACATGACAGTTCACTGATCTATTAAGTTATTCTTCGTCCTTCTACAGATGAATGAATGGGATTTTGACTGATCTGTTGAGTTATTTTCTGTCGTTCAATAGTTGAATCAAAGGGAACAATTCCTGTGTTTAAACTTTCATTTTAGTTTTAATTTCAGCAGTTTTGAACACTGCATCGTTAAGAATGAGGGGAAATGCCTACAAATATAGTTTTAATTTCAGCAGTTTTGAACACTGCTCATTAAGAATGAGGGGAAAATCTACCATACTGTTGTTACTAAACCTTACTCATGATGTTTTATATTAATGTAACTTGTCATTTATACAGATCATTAACATTATAATATCCATTCTTGATTTTATGCAAGTTATATCAAGTTCTTGTCATTCAGGAACAAAAATGGTAAGTTTATGCTCTTCTTCTGATGTTGCAGGAAGACGTAGATATCATGAAAATGTTGAACTTCGATGCATACCGGTTCTCAATTTCATGGTCCAGAATTTTCCCTGGTAGTTGATTCAGATGCAGTTTCTGTTAAATTTGAACTCTTTTTAAAAATTTGTGTCACTGGATCAGCCTAAACTTCTTTGACTTCTTTGATGTAGATGGAACTGGAAAAGTGAATTGGTTGGGAGTTGCATACTACAATAGGTTGATCGACTACATGATTGAAAAAGGTTTGCTTTTCTATGAAATTTGAATTAGATACATGTTGATTGCCAACTAATCACTACACATTTATCAAGAGATGGGGATATGATGTCCATGAATATTTTGCAGGCATTACTCCATATGCGAATCTTTATCACTATGATCTTCCCCTAGCACTTGAGAAGAAGTATAAAGGATTGCTGAGTTACCAAGTCGTGTAAGCATAGTAATAAGAACTGATTTTTCCCCATGTATAGTTTTTACCTTATATTTTGTATTTTGGATGACTGGAATGATTTTTCTCAGGCATGTTATTCTGGGGATTATGTTTCTGAGCAATCATCTTTAAATAGATTGAAATTTGATAAATGCCTCAAACTCTGCAGGAAAGACTTTGCCGATTATGCAGACTTCTGTTTCAAGACCTTTGGAGACCGAGTGAAGAATTGGATGACATTCAATGAACCCAGAGTGGTAGCTGCACTTGGATATGATAATGGATTATTTGCTCCTGGCAGGTGTTCCAAAGCATTCGGGAACTGTACAGCTGGCGATTCTGCAACAGAGCCTTATATTGTTGCTCATCATTTGATTTTATCTCATGCAGCTGCAGTTCAGAGATACCGCGATAAGTATCAAGTTAGCATCTGTTCTTCTGTTTTGAACTGGATGGAATTCATGTATTCAATGGAGCAGAATGCTATATACCTTTTCCTTTTTCATTCTACATTGCAGGAAAAACAAAAGGGAAGGATTGGGATTCTCTTGGATTTTGTTTATTACGAACCTCTTACCAGCTCAAAAGCTGACAACTTAGCAGCTCAAAGAGCAAGAGACTTTCACATTGGATGGTAAAAATCTTTACTGCTTACTGATACAAGAAATTCTCTCTTTCTTTCATGTAGTGGTCAATGAGGAGTAATCAAGGACCACACAGAATTTCCCAAGATGACTAAAGTTGACATTCTTGATTAATTATTTTTCACTATAGTGATAAAACACCACCAAAATATATTGTGATTGTGAGGATGTTGATGGTTTGAGTTGGGTTGAAACAGTAGCATACAGCTAAAGTAAAGAGTTGAGGTATAAAGATTTAAGTGGAAAAATAAGACCTCTATTTATAGTAGAGAACTTCCTTACCTTTTACGCAAAAAAACCAACTAAACAAACTAATATGCCTACTCCTTCATTTTCAGCATTTCTAATTGTGATTAAACCTTCATATTCAGCTTCTCCTGCCACAAACTTTGCAAGAGTTGAAGAAGGCAGGCTGCAATCTTTCTCTTCTCTAAGTAATTTACTTTTCAAGTCTGAAATGTGAGCTTACAACTCGTATTCGCCCACTTAAACTCACTTTTCACTTCCTTCTATTTTTTAATTCTTTCCAACTACATGTCCTTTACTTTTTTGCTAAGCCATAAGAGGATGTACTCCAAATAAACTTGCCAACATCGATCAGCTTTGTGATAACATCTTCTACATTATCATTAGAGTTTTATTATAAATGGTGTGATATTGATCTTCAAAATGCGATGAATAGCCATGCTTTATAAGTTGTCCAACACTTAACAAATTATACCCAGCACATGCATTACCTCATGAATCACTTGTTTTCCATTCGTTGTTTCAACTTCAGTGATGCCTAAGCCACCTGCACTTATAAATTCTCTGTTCTCAATCTTCACTCTAGTTTGCCTTTTTATATCAATGTCATTGAACATGTTTTTGCTCGGTTTCATGTGAGTGCTACAAGAACTATCAATGAGCCATTGTCCTTTCTTGTCTCCGTTGCTACTATGACAAGTATAACATGTTTCCATACCTTCTCTATCTTTAATAATATTTCCTTGTGGAATGTTCCTCATACTATAATGTTTAGCTAAGTGACCAAACCCCTTACAATTGAAACATCGTGTCTTTCCTTTATACCAACAATTTTTAGGCACATGGCCTGGTCTATTATAAGAAATGAAACCTTCTGACACTTCTGTCATCACCATAGTTGCTTCCTAAATTACTTCTTCCTCTTTCCCTTTGATTTCTACCCCTTCCTCTACTTATTTCATTCACCTGTAAAGGATTTTGTGTACCAAGAGTGCTTTGATTGAAAACTAATCTCTACTTACTTTTCACTTCTCTTGACTGATCTCTTCTCATAATGAACCCATTAACTCTGGAACGCCCAACATAAACAAATCTTTTGTTTCTTCTATAGCAGCCACAGTAGGATCAAACTTCTCTGGAAAGCTAAACAACACTTTATCTACAACTCTTCTATCAGTAATCTCATCACCACAACTTTTCATCTGAATACGTGGAGAGAACACCACAATATTAACTCTTTCTCTTCTTATTTAGGAGAAACAAAAGTGAAAGGAGTTAGCAAAAACTAAGGAGAAAGTCTCTATTTATATTTATAGTAGAGGGCTTCTTTACATGTTAATAAATAAACCAGCTAGAAAGACTAACTTTACTGCGGCCATTTTTTGACTTGGCTGCTCCTCCATTTTCAGCATTTCCCCCTGTGATTGCAGCCATATTTGACACCTCTATATTCAGCTTTTCCAGCCATCTACTCTGTAAGAGTTAAAGAAAGATGGCTGCAACGTTTCTCATTTCTAAGTAACTGAATATTCCAGTGTGAAATGTGAGTTTACAGCTCATAACAACGAGCTGAAATTTGGAAACCATAGCAGCATGCTACTTTGCAGATAATATAAATTTGATGCATTTAACTGACACATTTTATGAACTTGCATCTTAGTGTCAGCTATCTGAAATTTATTTAAAACAGTTAGATTGTTGGTGAAATAGATATGTCAAACAGTTAGATTGTTGGTGAAATAGATATTAGATTGTTGGTGAAATAGATATGTCTAAAGAGTGTGCCTTGGAAAGAATATGAAAGTATGGTCTAAAACTTTGGATATAAACAATTTTCATAATAATGAGACAAATAAGATATTTCAAGGGCTTTCCAGTTGAATCACACTTCCATGTGATACAATCAACTAACCTTATGATATAATTTAGACATCTTCATAGCTTTCAAAAAATTCATATCACATGGACTTTGCTTTTTGTAGGTTTATCCATCCTATTGTGTATGGTGAATATCCAAAAACAATGAAAAATATTGTCGGGAATAGACTACCCCAGTTTACAAAAGAAGAAGTTAGGATGGTGAAGGGCTCAATGGATTTTGTGGGCATCAACCAATATACAACTTTCTACATGTATGATCCTCATCAGCCTAAACCGAAGTACTTGGGCTACCAGCAGGATTGGAATGTTGGGTTTGCTTGTAAGAAACTCCTGGATTTCTTTCCCCCTCGAATAAATGGAGCTTCAAACTTCGTTTACTCCTTCAGTCACTAAATTTCAGTGTCTTGTGAATTTTGCAGATAAGAAGAATGGAGTGCCAATTGGTCCAAGAGTAAGTTTTTTACCTGTGTGTTAATAATGCATGAGCTATGGATTTGATTTTATTTCATATGAATAACTGGATATTTGCAGGCAAATTCTAATTGGCTTTACAATGTACCATGGGGTATGTACAAGGCTGTGATGTACATCAAAGAGCGCTATGGAAACCCTACAATTATACTATCTGAAAATGGTATGAGCTACCTATATGCTTTTTTTTTTTTTGTGTTAAATTATAACTTTTTGTGGGCTTGTTTTTATACTCTGTCAATATATATATATATATAGGGATGGATGATCCTGGTAATTTCACCCGTTCGAAAGCATTGCACGACACCACTAGAATTGGCTACTTTAAGGCCTATTTGACTCAGCTGAAGAAGGCAGCTGATGAAGGAGCCAATTTAGCTGGTTACTTTGCATGGTCATTGCTTGACAACTTTGAATGGAGGTCAGGCTACACTTCAAGGTTCGGCATAGTATATGTTGATTACACCAACCTAAAGAGGTACCCCAAAATGTCTGCCTATTGGTTCAAGAAACTACTGGAGCGGAATAAACACTAAACATAGCAGCCAGGCTTTCCTTTTGATTTAGTTGTCTGGAAATTAATATTTTTACAGTAAAGCTATCAAGAACGTTGTGTTTGGGCACCTTCACTGCTTGAGTTTGTTCAGTGGCGCTAATAATAATTTACACATCTGCTATCATAATGAAACAGCTTAACCGATCAAGAACATAAAATTGCAGAGAAATGACGTACACAAGCATGGCCTTATAGTTGTCCTTGTTTGTGAAATTTAGCTGACTATTTTTCTGAATGAACTGCGTTAACTTTGAATGATGATGCAAAATTTAATCTCGTATCTCCATAAGAAACCAGGATATCGATCTCAGTCTCAGCTCTCATTAGTCAGGCTCAGAAACTGCAAATTGCCATGCAGACATGCAGTCCTCGTCTTTGGTGGACAACAATAGGGCAACTTCTACTGACCTTGCAACCTAAAAGTTTGATCTCAAATCCACATCTTAATCCAATTTTTCAGTGGCCTATTTCAGAATTTCCATGAAAGGTTCCTACTAGTTACGAAAAAATGGGCTCTGAATTATGACCATGGAGATCGAAAGGATACACACAAGAAAAGAAATTCAAAATAGTATTCTTCGTGTTCTTTAAAATCCTGTGCTTGCTTCTCTTCTCCTTTTCATTCATATCTTTTTCGTTAGGACTCTTTCTAGGCTTAGAATTCACACTTTCTTGGGACTCCTTACTGACATACAAGTTGTCTGAGTTTTTTACCTTGGTTACCGCTGATGCTTGTTCACCCTGGCCTAAGCGAACTTTGTTTTCTTTCTTTTCTATCATGAACCATTGACTGAACGTCATCAGGTTTTAAACATGGTGTATTCATCTTTTCCGAGTCAATCACAACTGAGATTTGTTCAGTGCTGCTATTTTTCTGATCCAAGTAGGTTTCTTCGACTTGTCGAATCCTGAATGGGTTCTGAGGTATCATCAGTGGAACATCATTGGGAACCATTGCTGTTTCTGTACTTTAAACATTACGTGACGAACGTAGTTTCTAAAGGGCTAGAGCTTCGCTGATATACATCCTCTCAGTTGAAAGAGGCTCCTGCTTCATTAACACACCTAGTACAGTAAACGCATACTCTGTAAAGTTATGCTACTTCTAAATATCTGTATCAGTAAAGATCAAATGGGGTTAAAAGAACTGGCCTGCACTATCTTCTCCAGTTTTGTAGGAAAGAAAAGCCATCGAGATGTCCTTTTGTCTGGATATAATACTAGCTTTGGGTTTCTGGGATGAGAAGGATTTTGAACGACAATAGGGTCTGGATGATGTCCAGGACCTGGGAAACAAGCGAAGGCCTCCATGGTTTTTGAATCCAAGATCCCTTGAGCAATTGCAGTTGCTACTGAAGGAGGAATTTCTCTGGAGTTATTTTCAATCAGTCAAAGGAAAAAAAGCTGCACACAAGTCACAAACAAACTGCATATGCAGGCTTATACTGTTAGATTAGCATTGCTAATGTTAAACACCACCAACATGAAGTTATGCAACCAGCATCCAGAACTCTTCAAGTCCGATTAAAAAAAGGCAACAATATTCGCTTGATTTTGTCGGTATATGTTTTTTCTGAAAAATATTATATGTAATTTTGTCGGTAATTATTTAAAAATATTTTAAAAAATCATTTTACAAAACTATAAAATAATTAAATTAATATAAATTAACACTCTATAATACTTAAAACACCTAGAAAAAATAAAAATAAAATCAACTCAAACAAATTTGCAACAAATAAATAACTTAAAAAAATAAATTCATTTTAAAAAATTTATATGAAAAAAATAAAGTTGTGATTGCTAAAAATTTAAATATCCTATAAATAAATAAACTAAAAATTGACCTCATATAGAAAAAAACAAATCCTACTACAACATTCATATAATTATTAAGAAAAAACTAAAATAAAATTAAAAACAAATATAGAGAAAAAACAAAAAAAATCTTACCTTAACATAGTTGCAAGTGATGTTAAGAAGAGGAAAAAATAAAATTAAAAACAAATATAGAGAAAAAACACGAAAAAAAAGGAAAAAAAAAAGAAAACATACCTGAATATAAAGAAGAAGAGAAGAAGTTGAGGAAAGAAATATTAATTAAAAAAATTAAGAAAAAAAAGGAAAAAAAAAAAACATACCTAAACATAAAAAAGAAGAGAAGGAGTTGAGGAAAGAGGAGAAGAGAGAGAAATTGATATTGATGTTTTTTACATATAGAAAAAAAAAAAAAGAAAAAAAAAAAACATACCTAAACATAAAAAAGAAGAGAAGGAGTTGAGGAAAGAGGAGAAGAGAGAGAAATTGAGATTGATGTTTTTTACATATAGAAAAAAAAAAAAAGAAAAACAAGAAGAACAAAAGAGCTTTGTCTTATGTGAAATTAGGGATTCTAGGTTTTTTTTGGCATGTTTTATTGAATGTTTTACTGATAAATAATTAAATATTGATGATTCCATCTATAATATTTAATTTAAAATTTTAATTTAATTAAAAATTTTCAAAAACCATCAAATATCACTGATAATTTTTCAATCAATTGGTGATTCCATCTGTATTATTTAATCAAAATTTTTCAGAAAATTGCCAAATATCTCTAATGATTTTTCACTCTATCAGTGATTTTTTCTGCAAATAACAGTAATTAACAGTATAATTAAAAAATAAATAGTTCCAAAGCTCTTTAGAAAATACAGATAGAATTTTTTATTGGTGATTCTCTTTGTAATTAACATGATGAATAATATTCACAATTTACCAATGATTTTACTAAAAGACTTTATTCTGTTGGTATAAATGACACGTCATTATTTTTTACTTTGTTTTAATTATTTTTTTCACTGTAATTCTCTTAGTATATACCAATAAAATATTTTTATCAGTAAAATCTATCAAAAAATTATTGATAAAAATATTTTTGTTTTAATTATTTTTTTCACTGTAATTCTCCTAATATATACCAACAAAATATTTTTATCAGTAAAATCTATCGAAAAATTATTGATAAAAATATCAGTATTTTTATTTTTATTTATTAATTTTTTAATAGTGATATTTGCATTAATGAGATCATGCAATCCCATTGTAAAATAGAAAATGAGTTATCAAAGTAAACCCATTAATTTCTAATCTGTAATAGATTGTTGTTACTTCGATTTTTTAATATAAAATATTCAGTAAATTATGTGAGCTGGCAACATATTTCTTTATATCAATCAATATTTTTTCATTCATTTTCAACATGGCCTTGGGTAGCATGAAAAAAGTAAGTTAAAAGTTAATATTTATTATCAGAAAATTATCAAAAATACTATGAAAATATCATTGTTAAATTACACCCATAGATTATTATCTTACTATTTCCTTTGTCACTGAGAGAAAATTTTAATTTATAGGCTCATGTTTGTATACTTGTCATTGTTAAATTCAATTCTTAAAAATAATATAAAAATAAATTAGAAATTAACTCATCTATTTACAGCACTAAAAGACAAATAAATTTAATTTTGAAATTAGTATCTTGAAATACCACTAATTACTCTTTTTTTTTCTTTTTTGTTACGAGTAAATAAGATGAAGATGACGAGAGTAATATAAAAAATAAAATAAATAGAATATTATAATAGAATATATATCTTTGAGAATTCAACTTATTTATTAATTGATTCTATAATTAAATTTAATTATGTTAGAGAATAGATAATTAATTCCAAACAATTTATAAAGAAATTACAAGATGGAGGATGAATTCTAATATTAAAAAATAAAAGATAAATTATCATCATTATGATTATTATTAGCCGATAAGAAAAATAAAAATAAATTTGCAAATTACAGGACTCATCTCTAATATTAAAAAATAAAAGATAAATTATTATCATTGTTATTATTATTAGCCAATAAGAAAAATAAAAATCAAATTACAGGACTCATTTGTGATGCAATGAAAGAAAAAGTTCAGCATATTATTTGATTATCGTTTTTATTTGGGTTTTAATCTATTTATTCGATTAATTTTTTAATTTGGACCGTACAATATTAGTCTGCATCAACAGTTTGCG